GGGGAAATTCTGGGGAGAAAAATTTGGGGGAGAAAAATTCTGGGTGGAAAAATTTTGGGGGGAGAAAATTTCGGAGGGGGGAAATTTTGGGGGTGGGGGAAATTCGCCCCGGGATGGAGTGAGGATTGCACAGGATTATTTGGAGGCTGATCCGTTCATCCACACCATGACTCTGTTGAGGTGTCACTTAAAAAACATGGAATGGTTGGAAAAGACTTCCAAGAACATTCAGTCCAACCACTTAAAGGAAATAAATCCCTGCAAGAACTAAAAAAAAAAAAAAATAAATCCGAGCAGGAATCAAAGGTGCAGCTCCAGCAAACGCCACATTCCCAGCAGCTCAGATCCCACCCCAGGCAGGGACAGGGATAATTCCAAACAAAGAGGAAACTGCGAAAAAAAAACCAAAAACCTTCCCCTTTCACTGCCCAGCAGCTATCGGCCGGGATTGGGAAAAATCCAAACCCTCTTGGAGTCTGTGTTCACAACCTGAGAGCAATTTCCGAGAGCGGGAGCGATTCCCCCGCTGACTTGTTCACAGCAGAGCAGCTTGGCAGCAGCTCCTGCTCCTCACTCCCAAACCTCCTGGAGCTGCTCCAGGCACTCCTGAGGAGGAAAGGGGCACGCGTGATAAACTGAGAAGGGAAGGAATCCAGCTCCATCCGAACTGGGAGGCTGCTGGAGAGGAGAGGAATGTGGAAATTCGGGTCGGCTCAGCCTCGAAATGGAACGAAAAGCGCAGCGAAGGCTCAGGGGGAGCCCCTGCCCTGCCGGCATCTCCACGTGGCTCTGTGTGATCCCGGTGCTGCTCCTCATTCCAGGGATCTCTGCCACGCAGGGCTGGGATGCTGGGATTAGCTGGGATAAACTGGGATAAACTGGGATAAACTGGGATAAATGGCACAGAGATGTGGGTGGAATTTGGGGAGCAAAAGCAGCAGTTGTGGTTTGCTGTGGCACAGAGAGCCCCGGGAGCAGCTGGAGAGGGGCAAAGAGCCTGGCTGAGAGAAATGGTGAATTTGTCTTTACAAATGAGCTGTGGGTCTGATAAAACCAGCACTGAGACGTAAAAGAAACAATGGGATGGATTCCACTGATTGAGGAATGGAAAAAAAAAAAAGATATTTGCCTCTACAAACAAACTGTAAGGCTGCTGATCAATGAAATTGGATATTGAAAGATGAAAGAAGCAACGGGGGGAAAACCATGAATTCTGTAAGAATTAAAAATGCCAAGGGAGGGTTGTACATTAGAGGGGAATCTCAGGGATCAGGGGTTTGGGAAGTCTGGGCCTCTCAATGATCTCAGCCCATGGGGAAAGAGAGAGGGAAATTGGGATAAAAAGGGAGGGGAGTCCTCCAAAAATGTGAGAGAGCCCAGGGGAATGTCCCATGGCCTCTGCCTTTATCCCAATAAAGCTCCAGGGCTCCTCTGGCTCCTTTTTGGACACTCTGGAGTTTGTGGATTCATTTTCCTGACACTGGCTGAGGGCGGTTTTGGGAAGGTCCAGGTTTTCCCTTTAGGATTCAGATTTTGCAGGGGACTCTTTCCTCCCCTGCTGCCCAGCTCAGCATTTCTCCAGGCCCTGCTGGCTCCCAGCCTCTCACTAAATCCTTCCTGGAACTCGCTCTGCCGGGGCTGAGGCTGGAGAGGGAGCTGTGACTGCATCCCACGATGCTGGAAAAGGAGGAGGCAGGGCTGAGATCCATCCCAGGGAGCAGCAGCAGGACCCTGCCTGCCCTGGGCTGTCAGAACCCACCTCTGGCACAGCAGAGCTGTCAGAGACTCCCTGAATAGAGGAAAAAAGGATGGAAAAATAGCAACAGAGGTAAAATGTTTAAAAATAAATCCGGGGAGGATGAAATACAAAGCAGAAACTTCCCAGCTGTGCTCAGGACAGAAGGGAGGACCTGAAGGAGCATTTTCATCCTTCAGAGAGGTCCAGAGAGCTCCATGAGCTCCAGAGCAGACAAGAACCAGCCTGGCTTAGGGAAGCAGGGATGGGGATGCCTCAGAATAGCAAACAATGACCTCATCCTGGAAATTTCATGAGGCATCAACATCTGGATGGTATTAACAGCCCTGAGGAGGCTGGGGAGAAATAAAACCCCACCTCGTGTCCCCAGACTGAATCTGTCTGAAAAAAAAAAAAAAAAAAAAAAAAGCGAAATTCAGCTGATCCTTAGAGCCAGAATCTCAGGGCTTTGCTGATGTTCGGTTTTTAACACAAAAAGGGATCAGTGGGAGCCCAGGGTGGTGGTGCTCGGGTCAGAGGTGGGAATGAACATTCCTGCTGGGAGAATTCAGCCAACTCCAGGTCAAGCTGGAATTCAAACCATTTCTAGTGGTGAGGAGAGAGGGATTTTCATCCCAGAGAAGTTTTAAACAAAAGCCCGAGGGCTGTGGGAAGGGCTGAGGGGTTGGTTAAGGAGCACTCAGGATATTCTGTAATTCCATGACTTGGGGAGCAGAGAACAAATCCTTGCACCCAAACTCCAGGAAAATTCACCCAGATCCCACTGAGCAGAGGTTGGGGAGCTCCTGCTCGGGGATGTGAGCAGAGGTTTCGACCCTTGGGAAATTCCTGAAGTTATCAAGGTGCTGCCTTCAGCCTCGGGGAGGAGGGAGGGAAGCCAGGCCCACCAAAACCCTTCAGATCCCAGATTTTCCAGGGAAAAACAAACCAAGAGATTCCTACAACAAATATTGAAGCGATGAGGTGCCCTGCTGTAAACTCTGACTGGGTTTGTAACGGGGTGAGCAGACTGGTTAAACTGGGAGCTGTTTCTGTGTCAAGTCACAAAGACTTCACAAAGGCATCAGGTCCATCCCTCTGCTCCCAAATTTCTCCTCTCTCCATCAGCAAAATGCATTAAATTCTGCTTTCCCAGCCAGAGCAGGAACTGAGGGAAGGAGTCACAGCAATCCCTACACAAAACCCACCGAGAGGAAAGAACAAGAGCGGGGACTCGACTTGAGCTTTGTTTCATTTCCGAACATAAATCGTGCTGTCAGCTCCAGAGGCCGAGTTCCAGTCAGGAATAAACCCCTGGCAGGGGGACAACGATGAACTCAGTTGTTTTCTTTTGAGCGAGATCCATCTGCAAATCATTTCACCTCCCAGCGTTGTGCAGGGGCAGAGCTGGGGGCACTGGGAAGCCTTGGCCAGCAGAAACCTGATCCCAGCTTTTCCTGCAGAGCAGGAGCAGGGCAGGATCTGCTCCAGGGAGAAGGGGATTCTCAAATTAAAGCGAGGGAGGATTTTTCTGTGGCTTCACAGAAAGGAGAGAGGGGGGGTTTAGCTCCAGGATGAGCTTTTCCCTCTCCAAAACAAAGCAAGCATCCCCCGGCCCAGGTGAGAAGGTGCCACTGGTCACCATCCCAGTGCCTCGACCACAAATCCCAGGTCATTCCCAGCTCAGAACTGGGAGCTTTCCCAGCTGAACACGATGCACCCACCCACAACACACAGGGAAGCAGCCCAAGGAGGAATTCAGCTTTTAAACTCTGCTGACAAACAAAACTCTGCAGCTGCCAAGGCTTTACAAGCCTCTCCCAACCAATAAAATCCCATGTCCTCCTTTTTTTTTTTTTTTTTCCCAACCTGGGATAATGTTCAGCGTGTTCTCCAAAATATTTGTGGGTGTTGGAGCCCAGCAAGGCTGAAAACAAGGAAAAGGAGGGAGGTCTTGGGGTAAAAAAGGAAAAGAAGGGAAGTCTTGGGGTAAAAAAGGAAAAGGAGGGAGGTCTTGGGGTAAAAAAGGAAAGGAGGAAGGTCTTGGGGTAAAAAAGGAAAAGGAGGGAGGTCTTGGGGTAAAAAAGGAAAAGAAGGGAAGTCTTGGGGTAAAAAAAGGAAGGGAGGGAGGTCTTGGGGCACTGAGGTTCTTGAGCAGCAGAGATTTCCTAGGCTGGGATTTGGGAGCACTTCCTAATTCCAGCTGAATTCAATGGGATTTTCAGCAGTGCTGAGCTGCTGCTGAACAACCTTCTGTCAGTTTTTCCATTTCCATGTGTCCCAGAGACAGGATAACTCCTGAGCAGTTTTTATTTAAGGCAGATGGTTCCAGATGCTCCTGGTAATGCTTTTCTTGGAAAGGCCACTACTGGAAGCAGGAAAAATCCACTTTGTCTGTCTGGAGGTGATTTATTCCCTGCTCCTGCAGGGGGTGGGAATCTCGGGGATGGCTTTGAGGGAAATGTGCTGCACTGGTGGAAACAAACCCTCCTCAAACTGGAGTCCAGGGCAAAGAATTCCCTGCTCATCTCCCTGGGAATCCTGCAGACAGAATTCCAGTGGGTTTTTAATTCCCAATTTTCCCTGGTGTCCAGGGCAATGAATTCCCTGGGAATCCTGCAGACAGAATTCCAGTGGGGTTTTTTTATTCCCAATTTTCCAAAGCTGTGTGGCTTTGGGCTATTCCCAGCCAAGGACCTCTCCAGCAGATTAATTGCTAATGAAAGGAACGAAACGTGGCCAGGCTGATCCGGGGGGAATGTTCAGGAATAACAATTCCACACTCCAGAAGGAGCAGGCAGGAAAACCACAGCTCCTGCCTGGAGCACTCAGCCACTGCTTTCCCACCCCCCAGCTCACAGAATGAGGCAGAATTTCATTTAAACTCTTCCACATCTGCTCCAGGGTGGTTTTGTTTTTTTTTTCCTAGGGAAAAGTGTGGGAAGACGGCTGGGACGAGGGCTGGTGACAAAAAGCAAAACGGAAGAAGCGACAACAAAAAAAAGTTCAGAGCTCCCGGCTCCCGAGGAGCGGGAAACCCAGACTAAACCCTTCCACCTGCAGCTCTGGAAAACGCGATGTTCTCCCAAAAAAAAATATAAATAAATAAATAAATAAAAAATTTGTTACCAAGGTGGAAAGAGTGACACGCTCGTGTTTTGCCACCCACCGAGCCCCGCCCTTACTTGTAGACGTTGGTGTTGTATTTCCTCTCGCTGGGGAAGCCGAACATCCCGCACACCACCCGCGAATTCTTCATGGTCCAGTGCTTGTCACAGATCTGCTTCCAGCTGCCCTCGTCCTTCACCTCCACGTAGCCCTCGGTGACCGGCACGCGCTTGCGGTAGGTGGCCAGGATGGCGCGGATGCGGATGTCCTCCACCTGGATGTGCAGGTTCTGGGGGTGGGAAATAAACGGGAACGGCGCTGGGGTGATGGGAAACGGGGCTGGGGAATGCCAGGGGGGAGCACAGCCCAGATATGGTCAAGAAAATAAACGGGAACGGTGCTGGATTGCAGGGAAATGGGTTTTGGGAATTCCAGGGGGGAGCACAGCCCAACTGTCAAGTTCTGGGGGTGAGAAAATAAACAGGAATGGTGCTGGGTTGGAGGGAAACGGGGTTTGGGAATTCCAGGGGGGAGCACAGCCCAGCTGTGGTCAAGAAAAACGGGAACGGTGCTGGATTGCAGGGAAATGGGTTTTGGAAATTCCAGGTGGGATCACAGCCCAATTGTGGTCAAGTTCTGTGGGTGGGAAATAAACAGGAATGGTGCTGGGGTGATGGGAAATAGGTTTTGGGAATTCTGGGTGGAATCACAGCACAATTCAGGTCAAGTTCTGGGGGTGGGAAATAAATGGGAATGATGCTGGGTTGGAGGGAAATGGATTTTGGAAATTCCAGGTGGGATCACAGCCCAATTCTGGTCAAGTCCTGTGAGCAGAAAATAAATGGGAGTGATGCTGGGTTGCAGGGAAACGGGATTTGGGAATTCCAGGTGGGATCACAGCCCAGCTGTGCTCAGGACAAGGAAGGGACGGGGCAGGGAGGCAGAGGAGTGACAGGACACGAGGGATTCAAACTTCCAGAGGGCAGGGTTAGATGGAAAATCGGGAAAAGTTCTTCCCTGTGAGGGATGGAATTCCCAGAGGAGCTGTGGCTGCCCCATCCCTGGAAGTGCCCAAGGCCAGCTTGGATCAATCTGGGATCATGGGAGGTGCCCCTGCCATGGCAGGGGGTGGAATGAGATGATTTTTAAGAAAATTATTTTATGAAACAAACCTTTCCACCTCGTGTAAATCCATCCTCTGGAAGAGGATTTTTTTCTTTCATTAAAAAAAACAAACTCTAATTTATTTTCTAAGTAGCCCCATAACAAATCTGCTTTATCACATCAATTTCAGGCGCTGTTTTCACTTTAATTTAGTCCTCGTTCCTGTGGAAATCAACCAAGCTCAGCTCAGATTTAGGGCCAGCCTAAATCCCGGGATTGTTCCGGGTGCAGGGAGCCCTGGCAGGGAAGGAATTTGGGATTTCAGCCCAAAGCCATGATTTCATGTGGAATCTGGGATTCCAACGTGCTGAGAGCAGCGTTCCTCCAGCTCCTCCTCCACAGCACTGAGTCATGGAGCAGAATGGATTTCACATCTGGGACCCACGGGGGGCACAGAGCCGGCCTGGGAGAGCTGGGGGCAAATAAAAAAATAAATCCACGAGGGCACAAATGAACCCTGCAGGGTCCCAGGGGCAAATTCTGGCTGGAGAGGGCAAATCCTGCCTGGAAAAAAAAAAAAAATCCATGCAGGTACAAACCAACCCTGCTGGAGGGGGCAAATCCTGGCTGAAAAAAAAAATCCCTGAGGGCACAAATCAGCCCTGCAGGGTCCCAGGGAGAAATCCTGGCTGAAAGGGGCAAATCTTGCTTGGAAAAAAATCCTTGAGAGCACAAATCAACCCTACAGAGCCCCAGGGGCAAATCCTGGCTGGAAAAAAAAAAAAAAATCCATGCAGGCACAAACCAACCCTGCTGGAGGGGGCAAATCCTAGCTGAAAAAAAAATCCCTGAGGGCACAAACCAATCCTGCAGAGATCCAGGAGCAAATCCTGGCTGAAAGGGGCAAATCCTTCTTGGAAAAAAATCCTTGAGAGCACAAATCAACCCTACAGAGCCCCAAGGGCAAATCCTGGCTGGAAGGAACAAATCCTGGCTGGAAAAAAAAAAAAAATCCACGAGGACACAAATCAGCCCTGCAGAACCCCAGGGGTAAATCCTGGCTGGAGGGAACAAATCCTGGCTGGAAAAAAAAAATATCCACGAGGGCACAAACCAACCCTGCTGGAAGGGGCAAATCCTGGCTGGAAAAAAAAATCCATGAAGGCACAAACCAACCCTGCAGAGCTCCAGGGACAAATCCTGGCTTGAAAAGTTCCTCTGTGGCCAGTGATTACAAAAGAGCTTCTGAAAAATGGGTGAATTCCTTTCCAGGAGCCTTTTCCTTGTCAAATATGTGCAAGCTCACCGTGGTGCTGCTCGGGGGTGACATCAGAGCTGAGGAATCCTCACATCCAGCCACTCGGAAAAGAAAAAAAAAAAAAAATCTGCCCGCAGCTTTAAAGGACCACGGGGCTCTGCCCAGTCCTGCCAATTCCAGCTGGAATTTCAGAGCTGTCAACGCGGCCAAGAGAGGCCAGGGAAGGGCAAGGAAAGGCGGGGGATGGGGCAGGGAGAGGGGTCGGCATCTCCTCCTCATCCTCAGCTCTGCCCACACCACCCCGGATAATCAACTTAAAGCTTCTCCTCTCCTTTTTGTCCCTCTCCACCTTTTATTTGTCTGCATTTAGAGCCCGGGTTTTGTAATTCCCCCTCAGCTGAGGGAATTCAATTCTCCAAAAATCCCGGCTGGAGCATCCCTCAGCCCCAGGGAAATAAGATTTATCGGGCAGAGTTACTCACACCGGGTCCACGGGCAGGGCTCCGGTTTTGAAAGCCCTGCAGAACGAAAAATAACCCCAGTGCTACCCGGATTTGTTACATCTGAGGCAATTTCAGGTGTTCCAAGGGTCTGATGTAAGAGGGGATTTCAAACCTGAAAAATCCATTTACAGCACCAAGTTTCTCTTAAAACCTTTTTTTTTNTTTTGCCTACGTGCTGTCAGGAAGGTATCAGAGCCTCAGGGCATTCCAGGCTCCTTTCCAAACCCTGCAATTCGCTTTTCCCTGGTGCAGTTTAGGAAATATTTCCAGCTTTTGCCTCGATGGAGAAATTGTGTTTACCCAGAGCTGTCAGAGGGAACTTTGTTCTCCTGCTTTCCAAACCCTGCCTCGTTTTCTTCACCAGGAAAAAAAAATTTAAAAAAAAAAATAATAATAATCAAAGCCTGAAATCCACCTGGAAACAGCTCTGGGTGCTGAAGATCTCCCAAGTGTTTTTAATAAAAGTTTTTTAAAGGGATTAACCCAAAAGCCAGCGAGCCAAAACTTCAAACTGTGCTGGAAAAGCACCTGGGAAAAGATGGGGAACAGGAGGAAATCTGGGAGGAAATCTGGGAGGAAATCTGGGAGGAAATCTGTCCTGGCTGCTGGGAAAGTGGGAGAGGGAGTTTTCCATGTGTGAGTGGGGGATTTATCCACCCTGTGATAAATAATAATAATAAATAATAAAAATAATAAAAAATAATAAAAATAATAATGAAAATAAAAATAATATAAAAGAAAAATAAGTCATAATAAATAATAATAAACAATAAAAATAAAAATAAGTAATAATAATGAAAATAAAAATAATAATAAAAATAATAAAAATTATGAAAATAATTAAAATAATAACAATTAAAAGACTTAATAATAAATAATATAAATATTAATTTATAATAAAAATAATAAAAATAATGAAAAAGAATAAAATAATAATAAAAATAATGAAAATAATAAAAATAATAATTAAAAAATTAAAAATAATAATAATAAATAATAAGAAGAAATAATAATGAAAGGAAGCCCTGAGAGCCACAGTTAGGTGAGGCTCAGCCCTGCTGCACATTGAAGTCACAGAAATGGGAAAATTTTCCTTGCAGCCCCTTCAGCGATTTGCTGCAGCCCAGCCTGGATCTCACTGGGCAGCCCCGACCCTTTTCCCTGGGTTTAGGGCAGCAGGAGCCTGAGCTGCTCCTGGGGAGGGCTCACAGCTGCCTGAGCTCCGTTCCAGATGTGCAACATCTGCCTGGTGCTCCCCGGGATCAGCATTCCCACCTTTTCCCGGCCACCGCCCAGCCCTGTCCCCCTGCCGGGCTCAGCCCAGGCAAAGTCACCCCTTTGGAAAACCTGGAAAAGCCCCAAGGCGAGCACAGGACGAGGGGAAGGACTCGCTTGGGTTTGGTCTTTCCCAGCCTTTAGGATTCCCGGGAGGGAGCAGCAATTCCCAAACTCCTTCTGTGCAGGAATCGGGCTGAGAGAGAACAAACTGCTTCTCCAAAGGCAAAAAAAAAAATTAAAAAAAAATAAATAAAAAAAAAATCAGGGAATCCTCTCCAGGATCCTGAGGATTCAACCCCAGCCTCCTCCTGAGGATCCCTCCTGCAGCAGGGAGCACAAAAAAAAAAAATAAAAACCCCAGCTCTCATCGAGAATATTTGGATTTTCCTCTCCTGATCCAACAGATTTGGGAGTTTTCCTTTTCTTCCCACTCCTCCAGGCAGGCAGGAGCTCTGCTCCCCAAATCCCAGCGCACCCAGCCCGGGAGAGCACTGGGAATCCTCCCCTGCTGCATTCCTGCACCTTCCAGCTCATGGATCTTCCAAGCCACAGGGAGGATTTTCATTTTCCAGAGCCCTGCATGGATTCTGGGAATGCCCAGCTGGGATTGATGGTAACCAGAGCATCAGGCAGAGGAAGGGAAGAACTCGCTGAGGATGAGAAGGAGAAAAATCACAATGGTGCAAAAAGAAAAAAAAAATAAAAAATAAAATAAAATAAAATAAAATAAAATAAAATAAAATAAAATAAAATAAAATAAAATAAAATAAAAGACTCTCGAAAAATGGGAAGCTTGGGAATGCTGGGAGGTGCTTTGGGATTTGCCTGTTATTTTTGCAATTATTTCTGCAGCTTAACAAATCAAAAGGAGTTGTTCCAGCTGTTTCCAGAAGAGCTCTGAGCAGAGCAGGAGTGGGATATCCATGACTCCAGAACTCGGGAGCCCAAAATTTCCAACTCCAGGACTCCAAATTCCTGTATTTCCGATTCCAGGATTCAAAATTCCTGTATTTCTCACTCCAGCAATCAAGATCTCAGAATTTCCCACTCCATGACTCCAAATTCCTGCATTTCCCACTCCAGCACTCAAAATTCCTGCATTTCCCACTTCCAAGCTGGGCTTTTGGACATTTCTTCCCCCCTGAA